CCTCGGATCCAGGAGGAGCAGTGTGGTTTTTGTCCTGGCCGTTGAACACTGGACCAGCTCTGCACTCTCCATCGGGTGCTTGAGGGTTCATGGAAGTTTGCCCAACCAGTCCACATGCGCTTTGTGGATCTGGAGAAGGCATGCGACCTTGTCCCTCGTGGTGTCCTGTAGGGGGTGCTTCGAGAGTATGGGGTTTGGGGCCCTTTGCTAAGGGCTGTCCGGTCCCTGTATGACCGGAGCAGGAGCTGTGTTTGCATTGCCGGCAGTAAATCAGACCTGTTCCCGATGCTTGTTGGACTCCGCCAGGGCTGCCTTTTGTCACTGGTCCTGTTCATTGTATTTATGGACAAAATTTCTATTCACAGTAAGGGGCCGGAGGGGGTTCAGTTTGGGGACCACAGGATCTCATCTCTGCTGTTTGCAGATGATGTTCTCCTGATGGCTCCATCGAACCAGGACCTGCAATGTGCACTGGGGCAGTTTGCAGCAGAGTGTGGAGAGGCTGGGATGAAGATCAGCTTTTCCAAGTCTGAGGCCATGGTTCTCCCCCAGAAAAAGGTGGCTTGCCCTCTCCAGGTGGGTGGAGAGGCCCTGCCTCAACTGGAGTAGTTCAAATATCAAGGGGTCTTATTCACGAGTGAGGGGAAGATAGAGTGTGAGATTGACAGGCGGACCGGTGCAGCGTCGGCAGTGATGCGGTTGCTATAGCAGACTGTTGTGGTGAAGAGGGAGCTGAACCGAAAAGGTGAAGCTCTCAATTTGCTAGTCAATCTACGTTCATACCCTCACCTATGGTCATGATCTTTGGGTAATGACCGAAAGGATTGCGGATACAAGCAGCCAAAATGAGTTTCCTCTGCAGGGTGGTTCCCTTAGAGATATGGTGATGAGCTCAGTCACACGGGAGGAGCTTGAGTAGAGCTGCTGCTCCTCCACATCGAGAGGAGCCAGCTGAGGTGGCTCAGGCATCTGTTCCGGATGCCTCCTGGGTGCCTTCCTTGGGAGGTGTTCCGTGCACGCCCCACCAGGACACACTGGAGGGACTATGTCTCTCAGCTGGGCTAGGAAAGCCTTGGCGTCCCCCTGGAGGAGCTGGAGGAAGTGTCTGGGGTGAGAGAAGTCTGGGAGTCCCTTCTTAGATTGCTGCCCCCGCAACCAGGCCCTGGATAAGCGGAAGAAAATGGATGGATGGATATATCATATTAAGTTTAATTTATTTCTAATTTAATGCAGTAGGTACAAGAGCATTCATTCAAATATGTCACATGACATATGAGAAAACCCCACTGACAATCTAAGGGGAGGTGAGGAATCAACCGTACAAAACCATGCCCATAATATGTCTGCCTGACCATAGATGGTTTAAATGCTTTTGTAAAATTAGCTGATGTTCTTAAAGCTTTCCATGGAGATCTTATTGCTTTGCTTGGAATGTTCTACAGTATGGCATGAACCATCTATGTATTAATAATCTATAGATGCTTTTGTTTAAGCTTTATTAATCAAGAATATATTGATAACCATACATTTTTATGTGATGTTACGTCTCTACAATAACATCTCCATGGAGACAAGCAGGTGACGAACTATCTTTCCTCCTCTAAATGCATGACATGTTTAGACAGGACTGGCCTTGAAGCTGCTGTCTGCTGGGGCCCGGACCCCAGAGGGATGTTCATTCTGAGGTGAGATCCCATCAATTTTCACAACTTGGACAAGACAGAGAAAAAAACAGCATGTCTTTGTCTCTCTACAGTAGGACAGTGACCGGACGGATGTAGTCACACTCACACTTAGATCCTGTCAGACATGGTGCTGATATGACTGAAGTACATTCATGCATTTTGGAGTTTAATTTTCATTAGTTATAAATGTATTTTTAACATGTATTATGAGGGTTTCATTTAACCCTAACCAAACATATTTATAACTATAGCAATAGTAAGTTACTTCAGTTCCATTTTCTTATCTGGTTGTTTATGTCACAATAACATTAATTTATCATTGACTTCTCAAAGCTGGTCACATACTTGAGGAATCTGTATTAGACAATGGAAAGGAAAGAAAATTAAGGATGGATGCTTGGTCATGCCAGCAATCGTGAATAATTATTAAATCATGATGTTTCTTCTTACAATCATGGTAATGCTAAAGTGTTAGACTTTGACATTTGGCAAGCTTTATACTTAATGTGAATTACATTGTCCTAATAAATAAATACATTCAAGGAAAATAAAATCAGTGTCATAATGGAGACATTTTCTTTGGCTTAATTTACTGTCACCAATTCCAACATCTTAAGCACAAGTCTTTTCTAGTTATATTTTTACCTTTTACATCTACTAGAACACAGTCTCTGAAATAAGTGACACTTTTAGCATCCATTTCCCACTTAACTCCTCCAAAAAAAATGCTGCCTGAATTAATTTGCAGCATTGTTGCTAGTCTTTTGGGGATGGCATTGTCAAAGCTATAGCATTAGCTTAAATTCTTAGCTTTGCAAGGCCATTTGTAGCCTATACTTTTGTGATCTGAATTCTACTTTGTGGAGCTACATGCTTCCTCTGTTTGTACTCCCACACATTTGCCTGTCATAAGTATAAAAGCATACAGTACAGATAGTAGAAGCCACTGGGAGCCCAAAACCACCACCTAAAACTAGACTTATTGATTCTATACAGCTCAAGAATACACAATGCTCATCAGGGCGGACCGCTGGACTAAATCAAGTGTATAGTGCAGGGGGGGGAATAAGCATATGTCAACACCTAAACAACACTCAACATGATCTTTTCCCTCCCATTAACTGATTTCTTGACATAGAAAAGTTGCCTTACAAAGTTCAAGTAATTAAAAAGCATTATTGGTGTAGTCATATTTAAAGTAAAGTAGTAAAGTCAAGTAATGGAAATAGAAGTACCATAAAAACCTTGTCTATTTTGCAACTTTTTGAAACCTTAATAATGTTTAGTTATTGTTGACTATTTTCTTCTGGTGACATGTCTCATTGTAATTCGCATGCTGACCGAGGAGTTTGGTTTGGACATGCTCTGCTCGTTCCGTTACCTATAGATTAGCATGGCAGACGCCTCTGACAGTGATGAAGTACCCTGTGTAGTATTCACTGCAAATCCTTTGAAATCCTCTTAGCTTGTAAATGGATGTGTTTATGATTTTCACACAGGAAAATACCGTTTATGATCTCTGATAGGCCAGTCGGAAAGTACAGCTCATAGGTCCTGCTGAGTAAATGAGGAGTTAATGTTGAGGAACTTGGAAAGAAATAATTAAATTAGCTTTATGAGTTTTTAACTGTGACTGGAAACTCATTAACATATGCTAAAAACAGATTTAGTTAGTGTAATAATACAGTCTCTAAGATTGTCTACAACAAAAGTGTCCCAATAGTTCTCAAAATGCTGTCTTTACATGATTTTAAATGATTGTAGGTTTATTTCTGAAAAGAACAGACTATTAAACTGGAACTCACTGCAACCTTAATGCAGCACTGCATAACTTCCTGGAGATGGTACGTCACCTGTAGCCAGGCTGGTGCCACCTAGTGCTTCGGCTCAATTTCATTTCTCTCCAGCAACTAGGTCTAGGAATTGGAATACACTAGATGGTTTGCAAGAATCCCGAAGTTGTAGACCACGCACCGGCCAATCAGCGAAGATCTGAACTAGGGATGGGCATGATAAATATATAATTAATAATCGATAATTGATCATTAAGAATTTCATCGATTACGTTAATTTTAATCGACAAACCGAATGTAGGTTGCTGTGCGTAGCGTGACCAAACAGGGGTCCGTACATGTAGCTCTCTGCACTCAGAAGGAGCAAGCAAACACAAACAGTAGGTCAGCCTGCAGCGTGCCGAAGCACAAATGTGTATTTAACGATGATTTGTACAAGAAATTCCACTCTTTCTGTTGCGTTCGGGACAAGTGGGAGTCCTTGTGCACAGTGTACAAAGCAGCACGTGTTTCGGTGTCCAGTGGGAAAAAGCTTTACCAGGTGAGAGTCGCGCAATGTCGATGACGAGTCCCAACCTCCTACCCCCCGTACGGTGTCCTGGTTTTGACAAACGCAAATATGGTCACACTAACCTGTATTCCACTGAATCATGTCTTAATCCGACAGAAATTGACCGCATCAGCGACACAAGAGCTGTATTTTTATCTTCGCCGAGTTTATGCAAATTAGCGATGCGGTTTTAAGTTTAGTTTGTGTGAGAGTTGCGCAAAAATGAATTAAACACGTTATAATGTCAAACGGATTGATGTGGCTCTAGAGTCGTTACGGTTTATATGTCGTAAAGCTGAATTTATTTATGCAGATTAGTAGTGCAGATACTAATAATAATGATGATCATTTTAATATAAAAATGTTAATGATTAATCGATAATCGATTGTTAATTCTTCCGACGATCGATTAAGAAAATTTCATCGAATGCCCATCCCTAATCTGAACCAACCAGAGTTGTGTTAGGCTGCATACACTATCCTCCTTTGAACTTCCTTTGTCAAATACAAACTTTGCATTTTTTTATTGCACATTTAATTCACAAGTTCATCTCACAGAAACAACAATGATCGTTGACAGACATGTTCACTCTTTGCTTTGTTTGCTGTTGGATTACTTGGACACGCGGAGCGCTCCAGCGCATTACATACGTCATGACCAATTAGCAGCCACTGGATAAATAAAAAAAGTACCAGCCTACCGTTGAGCGAACAAATAATAATGCTGCCAGGTCAGACAGTTTCCATGAAGTGAAACTGACTGATGAATCAGGCTACGTCACCTGCATGACTTCATGTGTAGCAGAGGGGTAGATAGGAGGGTAAGAGAAACCCAACGTAATCCTAATTAACATTAAGCCAACAACGCCACTGGGCGTAGCCCAGAAACTAAAACTAAATATACTAAACTAAAATAAGGCTCACGGGTTTGTTAATTGACAGACAGAGACAAGTGACTTACAAAACAGGAAATAATTATTAATATAATTTATTATTACCATTATTCATTTGTTTCCTTTTGTTAGATTAACTTTAAGAGTAGACTATTCACTGTTCACATAACTGCCGATTAAAAGCTTCACAAAAGTAGCTGTACGATGACTTTGTCCTTAAAATATAAAACACAGTAAAACAAAGCAGCAGCTCGTTCACAAGGCCACCGGTCCACCAGATGACGTGCCGAAAACCACCCTTAATAGATCCATGCCCTGGACCCACAAAACACACGCTTCTCAATCCACGAGGCTTGACGCCGAGCGGCCGGGGCATTTGACAGCAACACCGACCCAACCGTGTACAGAGGCTTCAGTGGCGCTTGTAGCGATCAACAGCAAATACACGCTGGAGCTTTACACAACAAGCCATAACTCCGATCGGGCGCATCGAGACTCCAGGAGCGATGGCACTATAATAAAGCAATATGTTAAATTATAAAGTTGCAAATTGTAATTAGAGAACAGCGGTTGTTTACCTGTGCGCGACAAGGCGGGACCCTATCCCGGAAGTGCGCCGAGGTCAGAGAACGAGACGCTGTGGGGCGTGCCCTTTTATAAGCCCAGGCGCCACCTGGTGGCAGAAAGCAGCAGGCGCGCACTGCTACACATGGAAATAGAAAGTTAATAGAAATGAATAGAAATTTATATTTCAGAACATTCTCCATAGCTATGGTTACATTGTATGCCATAAAAACATAAAAAAAAAGACATAAAACCATAGAAGTATCATACTCAATGAGTGGTATTCATCTTTAACTCTATCCATGTGCTCATCCAATGTTGTTTCCTCAGCACAAACATAACTGGAGTTAATACACAAACCCTGCATATTTAGGCCTAGTTCTTCTCTCATACATAAATTACCATTCCACCTTGTGATGTCATGTGGTACTCCACTGTGTTTTTAAACGTCTTACACTTTCACTAGAATCATCTGGAATGGCTCATTTTTACTGAACAAAAGGTAAAAAGTAGCTGTTGACTTGACAACAACAGCTTCTTGACATCACTAGTTGGAACAGAGCATTTTGATCTTTGGAGATGTAGACAGGCTAATAATAAAGGGTTACTCTAAAATGTGTAAATTAAGCAAAACACAACTCCAGGTATGTTTTTGATAAAGTAACAACACTATAACATGGCTTAAAGCTCACATTAGTCAATTTTGTGTAATATGGAACCTTTAAAAGATGACTTTGCTGGCATCAAAGCAAACCTGCATCACAACACAACTTTCGCCACAATTCCAATTCAAAATCAAGAGGAGTGAGTGATAAAAAAAAACAACAACAAAGGTTGTGAAAGCACAGCCTCTGCACTTGCTTAATGAACACATTTCCTGCATAAACAGCTCATTATTCTCAGTTTTTTGGTCTGGGATGCTGCTGCTGGTTTCTTCTTGGTCTGTGCCAGTGTAAAGATCTGTCACTGTGGTTAATCCAAACCACTTGTGTTGATAGTGCATGGAAAAAACACACCATTGTTATGATTTAAGAGTTTTTCCATTACCAAGCGCTGTCTGGATCGTGTTGTTTCCTTGAGGTCAGATGAGATTATATAAACAATCCCCAGCCTAAACTCTAATTAGAGCCACAATATACTGTAACAAGCATTTCCCACTACAACATGTGGGATTGTATGCAGGCCATTATAGGAGCAGTTATAGTACACTAAAATTCACATTCTTCTATCAGTCATTTCAGATTGGCTTTGTTTTTGACAGATATATTCAGACAAAACAGGAAATAGATTTTAGATAGACAGATTTTTATTATTTGTTGAGGATTTGGGTCCACACACTTGCTTCATTAAAAGACCCATATAACTATATTTTCCAATCTATGTTATAATGTTGTTTAATTATCATAAACATACCTGATTTTTTTTTATTTATTTATTTTTTTTCCATCTACAAGTTTAACACACGAATTCTCTCTACAGGAAACACTCCTTGTGATGTCATGTGGTATTACAGGAAGTCCTCCATTGTTTTTTTTAAGATCCATACATTATCATTTGGATAATTTCAACATTGGAACTACCAATCTCTACAGCACAGAAGGTAAAAGGGATCTATTAACTTGAAAACTATTCTTTATGACATCACAAGGTGGAACAGAGTATTTTGAGTTTTAGAGATGGACTAATAATACAATATTACTCAAACATGTGTGAATGAAACAAAACACAACTCCAGGTATATTTTTGATGAAGTAACAACATTCTAACTAATTCTGGCTTAAAGGTCACATGATAAGAGTTTGTGTAATATGCGACTTTTAAATGGCAACTTCTGTAGTGTAATATACACCACCAAAAGATGTTATGGCTTTGTTTGAAAATGACTGTTACTCATACGCCCTTAACCCTTACATAGTGTACTGTGCTTCTGTTTGACAAAAACACATTCTTCTTCCCATCAGAACTCGTGATTAGGTAAACAACCTGATATGCCTTTTCTAGTATGGATTGTTTTGACCAGTTATGTACTCTCCTTTTTTATTTCAGCCAAAGAATACTTTAAAGTAATTTTTCTCACATACTTCCTCTTTTTCTAATATTTGGACTCAGCAGCATTCTTTAATTGTGTCTAATTGTTGCTCAAGTGAATGTGTTGTGTGGAAGAATGAAGTTTTGTGAACTAAAATGTCAAACTTTATTTAGAAACTATATAGAAGATAATAATAATAATAATAATCATAAAAAACACTTATTTTAAACCAGTACAATGTTTTTGTAACAGTAGTTGTAGTTACCTTAATATTACAATGTGTTAGTATAGATGAAGCCCATTCTCAAACTATTTAGAAAAGTTCCAATTTTGTCCTATTTATGTTTCAGGATAAGTACTTTATCAAATTAGTATATAGGTATTGATGTTCCTGCATACTCTAACTGTGAAAATGTATACTTTTTATTTATTTGTTTGTAATCTAACTTATTTTGTCCATGTGTTGGAGAGCTGAGTAGTGAGCATTGCTTGTATCTATGGGGTAAACAGGTGTTGACATGATCTCCTCTGGCTTCAGTCTCAGAGGTGTCAGGGTGAACACACTTTCTTCTCAGATTGTCCGGAAGGGCTAAAGAGGACACTTGTTTGTTGTAAACATTCACATTGATTCAGTCTTTTACTTAAATTAAAGCACCTGTGACAGGATCACAAGACACTGCACTACACTGTCTGCCAACAATTCAATATCCTGACAGAAGACTCATCCCTCACTGTAATGTGAACTACAGACTCGGTCTGACTAACCAGTAGTACTAGTGGTAGTAGTTGTTGTTGTAAGTGGTAGAAGTAGTAAATAGTAAATAAGTAGTAGTAAGTAGTAGTATTAGTGGTAGTATTAGTAGTAACAGAGCTTCATGTCTGATGAGTTGTCATGGTTTGTGAGTTACAGGTGTTGACATGATCTCCTGTTTACCTTCTACCACTTATTTGTAAGTGGTAGAAGTAGTAAATAGTAAATAAGTAGTAGTAAGTAGTCGTATTAGTGGTAGTATTAGTAATAAGTAGTAGTAGAAGTAGTAAGTAGTTGGTAGTAGTTCTAGTAGTAGTAGAAACAGTAAGTAGTAAGTTGATGTAGTTGTCATTGTTGAAGAACTAGAACTTAAAATGCCATTTGTCTTAAGTTTATAAATAGAAATACAGGGAGTATCAAGTTCATATCAAAATCGAGCAGAAATATTTTCCATTGCTATTTTTGTAGTATTGGCCATACCAAAAATAAGTAATTAATAACTTTCGGCTTAATAAAGTAACAGAGCTTCATGTCTGATGAGTTGTCATGGTTTGTGAGTTATTTGTTATTATTAGTGAGTGTTATAGTTTGCCTCTGGGAAGTTTGATCACTTCCCAGATAAAGGTTATTTGGCACTGCAGTTGTGTACTCATGGGTCAATAAAGCAAAGGTTACTGCTACAGAATCCTGTAGAACTGAATTCAAGGCCTATGGCAATAATAATTTTCATGGAGGCTATGCAAAATACCATACCATACAAGACAATTCCCTCATAGTTACTTTACTCTTTTTAATTACAATTACTCAACTGTATTTGAGAAATGCTCCTCTAAAATTCGACACTTTTTCACACACATTTAAAAAAAAAAAGTAAAACAAGAATAATTTAATGAATGGTTTTTATACAGGGTCAAATACTTAAGCTAAAAGCAGTTCAATACTCCATAATACTATTAGGATACAAGCAAAAAGTATAGAGCTAAGATTTTACCGGTGGCAGCAAAGTATATTTCATGTGACCAAAATTCACAGTAAGAGTCTTTCGATCAAAAAGAACATTAAATGTATTTTGTTTACAGTAAGATTTTTTTTTTCCCCATTTGATTATTGGCCTTTAGTATCTTTGAAAAGATCTGTTGCTACCATCTGAAATACTGTATTGTGCCTAGATCTGTTTACTATAAATACAAAACTGCTTTCAAGGTGTAACTGTTGGGGTTATTTTTTTTTGGATTAAAAAGCAAAAACTCTTTTAAAATGGTGACTCTACCCCTTATATTTCTATGTCTACTGTGAGACTAGACTTTTGATTGTACTCAAGCTGGGTCTACAACTGCAACACCGTCCCTCCCTGTCGCCATGGAAACTTGCAGTAAAAAGCATCTGTTCAGATCATCAAAGTGAATGGACAAACATAGGAGAGATTGGCAGCTCTGTTAGTTTTCCACTCCCCTGCAGTGTGAGGAGATGATTATGATCAGTCAAATGTGAGGGTGAGATCTCAGGTACAGAGAACACAACAACTTCACAACAGCCCAAATTTCCATTAGCAAGAGGTATTCTATGGTTGAATATGTCAGAACCTCCAGGAGATTTTTGTCATGATCCTGAGTCATTCCACTGTAATGGAAACATAGAAAATGCGTTTTATTTTATTATAATTTTTTTTATATTGTGCTTGACTTTCTTTGATGATGCAAGTTTGTGACAGGACATGTAAGTGCAAGTCTAATTTTCAAAAGTTCAACCAAGTTTACTTTTTGGATGAAGCTAGTTTACCAAACCTAACTTATAAACCATTTTGTTAAACCTCTATTGATCTTTTTAATTTAACTGAACGATCTTTTTAATCTTAAAAAAAAAAAAAAAAAAGGTACTACAAATGCTACTCAAGCCTGGTTGCCATTGCTAAACCATAGAGGACACATACATGTTTTTGTATCGAAAGGACATCTCCAGAATTCACTCACGGCACTGCAGAGGCTGCACTAGCACTAGTATTGATTGTCTGCTGGTGTTGGAGTTTAACTAGTGAATATTCAGATCAGAGAGGAATTTAAGGTTTAAACCCACTACATTTAATTGAAACTTGCAACCCAAATGAGAGAGTCATGTGAGGCTCATTTTCTTTCTGACCGTGTCCAAAGTTTTTAAGAATAAATCTGCATTAGAACTGTTATTAGTAAACACTGTTTTAAATTTAAATGATCATAAATACAAGTCCTGTAAATTACATGTCATCTTTTCTAATCCTGGACCCAGTCTTGTTTCTCCTGCTGTCTTATGTAAATTGTGATTAATTC